AAGATAATTAGATGGCCCCGTCATTTACCAGGTGGTTGGCAATGAAGCATTGGGGACTGTCCCCTGGTGCTCCTTCTTGCCCACCCCAGTATGTAGCACCAGACAGGATCCTTCTTCCCAAACAGCAGCTGGAAAGACAGACAGCCCTCGGCCCACTTGCTGATCTGTGAGATGGCATCTGATCCTTCAGGGACCCCCCACCTGATGCCTGGCCTGGACGAGTCTGGGATCAAGGGCGGGGAGCTCCAGGGTGCTTATATGGGCTTGTCCCAACACTTTCTCTGGAGGTTTGGCTTCTGGATTTATCTGCGTGGTGCTGGTCAAGTGTCCAACCTCAAGACAGCAGACCCACAACTATTCATTGAGCAGATGAGGGACAGTCGCCCCATGTCTTGGTGGCAGAGTAGACACGGGCCTTCATATGCAAAGAGTGGGAACTTAATGAACACTCCCCACGCACACACCTGGAGTGGCTTTCAAGTGGCCGGTCATGTTAGAATCAAGGAATCAAAGATATCTGAAGCCAAGGGCCCCAGTCCCTAAAGACCCTCCGACCCAGTGCTATTGAGTTCGGCCGCCCCTGAGCCTCAGGAGGCAGCTCTGGAATATCAACACCCCGGCCGCATCCCAGACAGACAAGATCAGAATCTCCAGGGAGGAGCCTGGGCACGGGTCAGTTTTTAGAAGCCCCCGAGTGGATCCATGTGCGTCCAGGCTGGAGAGCCCCTGATCTAATCCATTTAATCCGTGATGGGCAGCCGCCGGGAGCCGAGCTGGTTCCTAAGTTGCACACTCGCTCCTGTGAGCCCTGGTGACACCAGCCCTGACCACTCACCCCTCCAGAATGGTGGGTGAGACCCATCTCCTGGCACCAGCCTCTCCTGCCCCGTCTCCAGCCAGCTCCCAGCCTCACCCTGACTCTGGCCACAAACTCCTCCCGGGTCTCCTGTGTGCCCCAGCTCCGGCTGCTCTGTCTGCACCGCCATCCCCTCTCCTTGTCACATGAAGTCTGCTGTGACCCACGCACGTGCCAGCTCCTTGTGGAGCTCCTCCACGTGCACCCCGCCAGGAGAGGTGCTACTCACAACCAAAGTCCCGTAACTTTGCAAAAACCTGTCACCCAGCACTCACATGCTAAGGGGCCCTCTTCCTGTGCCTTTCCCCGTTTATTCTAGAAATGTCTGCAGAAGAAGCAGATTTTGTCAAGCAATGCTCCAAAAGCTCCTTGGGTGGGGGCTGGGAGATTGCCCACCCTGGGCTCGACCCTGGGCAGACTTTCACCCACCCACACTTGCAATTGAATCAACGCGCCCAGCATCCACCTGTCACCAGAGTGTGCCGTCCCACAGGAGAGTTCCTGCGGTGACGCCTGCTTAGCCTGGCTCAGCCAGGAGAAGAAGGAGCCTCCTCTGCAGAGCCCAATATAAGGTTCCGTACACAACATACGAATCCGCAGTTGCCTAGCGGGACACCTCCTGCACCTTCCCTCCTGCCTTTGGTCCAGAGCATACCCCAGGCCTCAGCTTGAGCAGCTAGGAAGGAGACCCTGCAGGGAACGTTGCTCCTGGGGGAGACAGAGTGCTGCTTCCCCTCTCCTGCGGTCTAGCCAGGCCAGATGGGCCCGTTCTGTCATTCAGCAGCTGTGTGATCTTGGCAAACCGCTCGACCTCTCTGAGCATCCGTTAACTGATCAGGGAAATGGGGTCATCAGAGACCTTCCTCTGGGTTGTTGTGAAGACTCATTGAGGGGCTGGGGATGTTGGGCTTCAGGGGGCCCACGGGCGGGCAGACCAGGCGGCAGGCGGACCAGGCAGCTGGCGAGGCTGAAGGATGGGTGCGCCTACCCCGCGGACAGGAGGGGCAATTATGCCCTATTCATGGTGACAGCAGAGCCCTGCCCTGGGCAGAGCCGAGCCCTGCGGCCCACAGATGGCTCGGCCCACAAATATGCACTTGGCAGCCCCTGAACTTTGGGTGACTTGACGCCAGTTGATCTGATGGGCAATTACGATTTATTTTGGGGCCAGGGAGGCAGCAGAGAACCAGGAAAATTACAAGACATCAGAGTGCAGCTCTGCTAAGAATACCATCGACTACACGGGTTTTTTTTTTTTGTTTTTTTTTTTAAAAAAAAAAACAATTGTTGTCTTAATGGTTAGGGGTTTGCAGGGCACTGAAATAAGAAAACCCTGAAGCCAAAATCAGATTACAGCCAATTCTCCCAAGGGAGGTATGAACCTTGGTCCAGTGACACTCTGGGATTATGCTTATTTGGGAGAAGTATCAAGGGAGGCAATTCCTGCCAGGGGAACTTTGCTAGCAACAGTGAGCACAGCGTAGAGGTATTTGCAGTTTGTTCTGGTTTGTCTTTAGTAGTTCTTGCTGAGTTGTTGAGGCTGGCCTCGAACCTGCAATCCTCCTGCCTCAGCCTCCAGAGTTGCTGGGAACAGAGGCGAGCGCCACCACACCCAGGAATAATGTTAAGTTTTTTTGTCATATAAAATAAATGGTCCTCCTGTCATCATCCCATGTCAAACCCAAATAACCTGTCAGCACAGCCTCCCCCAGGGCCACTTGGAGGCTTCGCGTGGGAACGGAACGCAGTTACAACCTGTCGAGGAAGCCAGCTTCAGAAAAAACATCCCAAGGAAACAGGGCCATCTTCCTGCAAGGACGTCTCCCCGCTGCCAGCTGAAGGGGCCGAGGACATGCCCGAGCCATCCTTGAAGAAGGACAATGACTCACCCATGTACATCCTCACCAATGACGTCCTGCCCACGTCCTGGGCCAGGGCTAAACGAACTTCCCATCTGGAGGACACTCAGCGCCACACCCTAAGGACAAGATGCCGTCCACCCAGAGGGTCGCTGCTCCTCTGACGGATTTACGAGGCACCAAGCGGTCCGCCCTGGCCGTCAATCACGCGTGGCAATCCTGATAGCGAGGCCCCCTCAGGGGAGCCCAGCCCGCGGCCTCACCACCCTCCTGCGCCTGGCCCCGAGCTCCATGCGGAGGCTCACACTCCGGAGGACAGAAGCCACCAAGTCAGGAGCAAGTGGACCCAGCAGTGGACACCCACGGGGGCCCCTGAGCAGGACACGCACCTCGGGTGGCCCTGCAGGGTGGGCGTGATTCACCCCGTATTATAGATCAGGGAGGGCATCTCAGAGGGGCTGTGTGACCTGCCCGCGGTCACCCCGTGGGGGAATGTGGACACCAGGCTGTGAACCCAGTCTGGCTGTGAGCACTTGTAATACCGAAGCCACCCTTGTGACCTCACCCATCCTTCTCCCAACTTCCCAGAGAGATGTTCAGGTGGGAACAATCTGCAGGGGCCCCCCGGTGGCTGCAGGTCACACAACGAGTCAGAGGGGAACAGGGGCCGGAGCCCAGACGTCCACTCTTTCAACCACAGGTATTCAGGGACCTGCCCTCAGCCAGACGCCCTGTTAGGTGTGGAGGGCCCAGGACACGGGCACAGACCTCCCACTCAGAGGGGACTCCACCAGAAACAGTCTGCCCGGGACATCCTGCGTCCCTCGTCACTGCAAGATGTCCACCAAAAGACGGGAATGGTGAGCATCTGAGTGGCCTGCATGGCTTTCAACCTGGCTTGTCAGAGACCCCGGGAGCAGTCAAAGCCTGGTCCCCTCTTCCTGGAGACGGCGGTGTCGACAGGCTGGGATGCCGGCCAATAATGGTCAGGTCACGGGCCACCAAAGGAAAGGGCAAGATCACATCCCCCGCGGGGTCACCCGGAGCCCAGCAGAGAGGCTCTGGCAGGACTGGGTTTGTGGTCAGGGGGTTCATCTGGCCAAGTCGCACCCAGAGCCCCGAGGTGGGTGGCAGGGCCCGGGTCAGCCGGATCAGGCCACCAAGCTGCTCAGACACGGGGCCCACGCGCTCAGAAGGGAGTGGAGGAGGGGGCCGGAGAGGGACGGGGACGAGACACTTCCTAGCCTCGTGCCCTTGAGTCCAGCATCCTGGAAGGCCGAGCCACACCCCGCCCCTTCCCCCAGCTCTCAACCTCAGCCAGGGTTGTCCCTGTCCCCAAGTGGGGATTAACGCTCCTCCAGAGGGCCAGCCAGGGATTTCCACATCAGGACCCCACACCACGGGGCCGTCGCCATGGTGACCGGCCACCCCAACTCCACTCCTCTCTGTCCACCAGCCACACGACTCTTTGGTGGAAGCTTTTTGTTGTTATTGTTCTTTTTTGTTTTTATTTTGCTCCAAAAGCAGCTCATTTCATAACCGACCCCAGAGGCTGCGTTTGCGCCTCATTCAATGAAGGAGTCAGACTGACGGGACCCTCTTTAGCAGGAGGTCCCCACACACAAGGGACGCGTGGGAGAGAGGGCCTGCCACCCCCAGCCTGGGGGAGGCTCCTCAAGCCCTCAGCCCGGGGCTACCCCTGTGCAGCCCGAAGGTCTGAGAGGAGAGGCCGGCCCCCGGGGCCTCTAGGCCAGCACCCCGGGGCCTCTGTTCACTGTCAACATTTCTTACCAGGTTCCCAAGTGTCCCAGGTTGAGCGTCCCCTCTTCAAATGCCTGGGGCCAGAGCATTTCAGATTGGGATTTTTTCAGATTTTGGAACACCTTGCCTAGACCTCACAGGTAACCTGGGGCTGGGACAATTCTAAACACGACCTCATTTGCACTTCAGATGCTCCTCAGACCCAGAGCCTGAAGGGACAATCTTTCCAATGCACCTGCATTGTGACTGTGACGGGTCCCAGGAGGTCGGGAGTAGAATATTCCCATTTGTGGCACCATGGCCATGTCGGGCTCCCAAAGTTTTCAACTGCAGAGCGCTTTGGATGTCAGACATTCAGAGGAGGGTGCTCAACCTGTGCTGGAAACCGGGACCACTGCAGGGCGACGGAGGGCGGTTTCAAGTCTCCCCAGTCCATCCTTTGGCAGTTTCTCTGTCCCACTTCCCCCACCCCCAAACCGCCACATGCTGACCGTCAGGAGAGCACAGAGGCGCCCCAGGCTTACCTGGATCGGGTTGTAGAGCTCCTGCAGGGGACTCCGTGACCCCTTTCGACAGCAGATGTCCACACCAAAGGGATTCCTCCGCATGACTGAGGAGAGAAAGCGAAGCTGGTCAGGAAGGAGGCAGAGGCTGGCCGAGCAGAAGGCACCCAGGAGCGGGGAGAGACTGGGGCGCAGGCAGCTCGAGCAAGGAGAGCTCCTCATGCTGTCCCTGGACCCCAAGAAAGAAAAGGGACGCGGCTGCCGTGTCCCAGGCAGAGGGTCTCCCGGCCAAGTCCGCGGGCAGAAGCAGTTTGCCTGGAAATAACCAGAGCGGCCCCAGCATCACCACAAATAAGCACGCAACAGGCTGCACGAGCTTCGGTGACAGTGACGTCACCAGGCAGTAGGCACTCTTAGCTCTGTCACGACCTTCCGCGGCCTGACGCTGACCTGGACGTCATCGTGCAGCCCAAGGCCACTAAGGACTCCGAGGACGGTCCCCCTGTGGATGGTCCCTCCGCACTCGGCGACCTGGACCCCTGGCACTTGGTGTCTGGACGTGCCCCAGGGTTCTCCTCCCACCCCCGCGTGGCCCGGAGGCCTGGCCTCTCCTGAGCCTCTTGTTATGATGTTATGTTTTCATTAAAATATCAGCTGTGGCCGAGAGAGGGGGGGAGGGAGTTTGGTCCAGGGCGGGCAGAGATGGCCAACCCAGGGGGTCAAAGGGGGGGACAAAGAGAACTCCTCGAATCCCACCAGCATCCAGGCCACCCAGACAGGGTTTTTAAACAGAAATGGATTCTTGCTCACAGACACCCTGGCTCTGTGCTATCCCTCACCAGGGCCTAACGCATAGACAGGCCTGATCATTAATTGTTGTGGCAGCGGAGGAAAGGAGAGGGGGAAAGAAGGAAAGATGGGCCGGGCACAGTGGTGCAGGCCCGTGATCCCAGCAGCTCTGGAGGCTGAGGCAGGAGGATCGCGAGTTCAAAGCCAGCCTCAGCAATGGTGAGGTGCTAAGCAACTCAGTGAGACCCTGTCTCTACTTAAATACAGAATAGGGTTGGGGACATGGCTCAGTGATTGAGTGCCCGGAGTTCAATCCCCGGTACCCCCCCAAAAAAGAGGGGGGGAAGATGAGGGAGGAATATTGAATAAGTGCTTTCTTCCAAAATAGGAGGCAACTTTCTAATGCAATCATATAATAGGGGCCAGAGTGGATCAAGGAAAATAGACCCTTTCCTAAGCCTAAAGGAATCACCCGCTATACAGTGACAGCAGAGTACACAGTAGGACATCCCCTCGTTCTTTGGAACAGACAGCCTGGACTTGAATCCTGGCTCTACCATATATTGGCTGTGTGACTTTGAACAAAGTACCTAGCCTCTCTCTGCCTCAGTTTCTATGGGGAATGGCCAGGGCCGAGCACCAATCAAAGTGGATTTACAGCTGTGCGTGGTGGGACATAGCCACTCAGGAGGCTGAGTCAGGAGGATCCCAAGTTTGAGGCCAGCCTCAACAACTCAGCAAGACCCTGTCTCAAAATAAAAAATGAAATGGGCTGAGGATGTGGCAAAGTGCCTCTGGGTTCAATCCCCAGTACCCCCCCCAAAAAAAAATCATTTAAGGACAGTAGCGTCTGAATTTCAGATACTTTTCACATGTCAGGAAATATCATTCTTTTGATTTATTTCAACTGCTTAACAAACACCGGCAGGGGGCTGCATTTGGCCCCCAGGCCCCAGTGCACCAAGCCCTGCCCTGCAGAACCACCCCAAGTATTCCGGGGTCACAGCTCCACACACGCCCTGCCTGGCTGGCCGCCTTCCCAGGATCCGCAGGCAAATGTCAATACATAAAAGCCGCTGGAACGTGACCAGGCTGACCAGGGGACACTGGCTCTTTGTTCCTCCACGGCTGCCCCAAGAAGAGGCAGGGGAAAGTCTACCTTGTGTTTTTCTTCATTTATGACTTCATTTTTCATTTCCACCAAACAGGAGGTAAGCTGTTAAACGCACGCCAGTCATCTTGGTGCACAACGACACAGCAACACTTCGGAGGAGAAAAAACAGCCATAAAACTTGTAAAATCATGCCCACGCCATGCAAGATTAAGTTCTCCCTGTGGCGACAGACTGGCTCATCGGGGCCCCGGGCTGCGGGACGGCCACCGTGAAACCCTACCGTGGAATCCATTAAAAGTCTGCTTTTTATGGAAGGCAGTATTATTTAATTGGTTTATTTTTCTAATGCAAAGGCCTTTAAAATGCTTTGACCGTGTGGGGCCTGCGACTTGGGGCCTCCGCCTGCAGCCCTGCCTGTGACTCCACGGGGCGCCCTGTGAACTGGCTTTGGCACCCCAGGTCTCAAAAGCCGGAGGGGCCCTGAGCGCTGTTTATTAAGATGATAACAGTCCTGCTGTTGGCGGCGTGGGGCGCTCTGGGCGCCTGGGAAGAGGAGTCCTTCCCACAGCGCAGGGAGGATTTCACAGAGGTGACGTCATAGATCTCCTCCCTGAGCCTCCCTGAGTAAGGTCAAGGCCTCGTCTGCCCAAAGCCACTCGTACCTGGTGGGTGCAGCGCGACCTGTGAGCCCAGGGCCACCTCCTGCCCCTGCTCAGCATGGCTGGGGGTGTGGCTCAGTGGTGACGCACTCCTGGGTTCAATCCCTGGTACCCCCCAAAATAATCCCTGTACCTTTGCAGCACAGATGTGAAATTTTTTTTCTATTTTCCATCCTTGGTGGATGGGGTCCCTGGTTGTGGCCAACAGAACTTGCTGTAGTCTGAGCTTTTACGCTGTGTGTGTGTCTTGGGACAAGGGGCATCAGGGCAGGTCCAGAGGCCGACCAGCAGGCGGTGGCCGTCAACGTAGAGAGCACTCGAGTTTGGCTCACTGACCCTCACAGGGGTCCTACGGAGCGGGTGCCACTGATGTCTCCTTTTTACTGTCCCCTCTTTACCCAGGGGAGGGCTGGGGCTCAGCGGGGTTAGCTCAGTCACCCAGGGGTCAGGCTGAGTGGTCAGGCACCACGCTGGACCACAAGTGAGGGCCACGGAAACGTCTCCACGGTTCCCTCCTGGCCTGAGGCCTGCTGGCTGGCCACGTCTAGGACCGGTGGTCCCTAGGCAACCTGGAGTCACAGGGCACACGGGCAGGACGGGCTGGCCAGACCACGGATGGCCACGATGGCAGAATCATTCGCTTAATAGATGTTCATCGAGCGCCTGCGAGAGGCTGGGCTGGGGAGGCAGGCCGTCCCCGGGTCACTCAGCTTGCCTGGGACCCAGCAGGTCCTCCAAAGGCCCCCGAATGTTCCAGGCCATCAGCACTGGACAGGGCACCGCGCGGGACGGTTGTGCTATACGTGGAGGGAGCTGCTGGGGGTTATTTTCCCCCTTTGAAAGTGTAAGGCCTGATGATCGAAAGCCCGAGGAAAGAGACCCCAAGGACATCAGTGGGGACCTCCTGCCGTCCGCCCACCCCGACAGTCATTTTCTCCTTTCGCAACACGCAACAACGAAAGGCCCAGGAACCTCGCAGGCTCCGTGCGCAGAGCGGCTTCTGGGACCCGAGGAGCCCCGCGTCTTCCCGAAGCTAAAGCGAGACCCCAGCCGCGGGTTTGTGGCACCAGGATGAAGAGGGCACCGCCTCCGGGTGAAGCTCTGTCCCCACCTCCACCCGCGCAGGGTGCAGGAGCCAGCTCCGGGCAGAGGAATCGGCCATCTGGGTCTCGGTGGCTCCTATGGCCCTTCAGTGCTGCTGCCACCAGGAAGGGCGGCTGGGCTGTTGGTTCGGGTCGGACATAGAACGGAAGTCCTGGGAGCCCGGCAGAAGCTGCCTCCATGCACGTCGCAAAACCAAGTCATCAGAATCCAAGGGACGAGGACACAGCCCAAACCCTGAAATTCACAGGAACCTCAGAAAGTGACATGATTGTCCCAAATCCCCAGTGTAGTTGGCTGCAGAGCCAGAGCTGGAAGTCAGGTCTTGGAAAATACAGTAAGAGTTCATAATAATCACGGCCGGCCAGGCGTTAGGAGTACCACGTGCCCGGTACAGGCATACGGCTGAGCCCTTTCCTCACATTGCTTCAGTTAATCCTCATAAAAACCCTTTACGTTAGATAATAGTAATAACAGCATCTATTCCCATCTTACAGTTGAGGAAACTGAAGCCCAGAGAGGTTCTGTAATTTGCCTGAGATCACACAGCTGGCAAATGGAAGGGCAAGTAACACATTCAAATCCTGATCTCTTTCTAAAGGCAGGGAAAGAGGGCTTCACACTCATCTTTGCGCTGCCAGTTCATTCAGCATTCAAAGTGAAGCACTTATATACTTATATACTAAATTACCAAGTCCAGTGGGGCTCCATCCTCCCTCCGGCAAGCCCACCCTAACATCCAGCTGACTGGCGACCTTTCCAAAGCCCCTGACCTGCTAACAGCCTGGACGTGGTTCCTCACCAGTTCCAGGCTCCCCCAGTGCCCGACTCACACCAGCTCTCTCCCCAGTGCCCGACTCACACCAGCGCCCAGCACAGTGCATCCGGCCAGACGGGACACGCCGGATCCACTCTCAGCATCCTGCCCCGGGGCACCCACAGCACCCCCCAGGAGGACAGTACGTCACCGCTGACCCCCCTCCCCCAGGTCACTGTGCTGAAAGCAGAACAACCAACTGACCTGGTTCCCAAGGGACTGAGACCCTGGGGGCTCGGGACCTGGGGTGCCAATACCAGAAAAGCCCTGGGACCAGTGGGTCACCAGACAACCCTGGAAAAGGAGGTGGCTCAGGCATTAAGGTCAACCAGGTCCGGGCCAGACCTGGGTTCACCCACAGGACAGCCTTGAGGGCCACCTCCTGTCTCCCACGCTCAGCTCCAGGACACCCGCAGTAACAATGCCGAGGGCCTCGTGGTGCGTGGCAACGGGACCAGCGTGGGAAACAGCCTGGCACTGGCCCTGAAAAACCATCTGTGGGACAGGTCGCAGGACTGGACCCGCCCCAGCTCGGCCACGGAGCCAGCAGCCTCGCTAGGAACGAGATCTTGTGGGGACAGACTGAGCGTCCCTGAGGCCAGACCCTAAATCTGGAACTCTGGGAGG